ACGGAGCGGAAGTCGCTCCCCGCTGCACTGTGGGCTCGTATTTCAGCGACTATTGGTTGAGGCAGCGGAAGTTACTCCCACAACATATTTATAAACAATATTTGGGAATATGGGCACAGTTTTTCTCTCCAAACTGCTTCGTGCTGAATGGGGGCACTGTTAATCAGGTCTTTCATGGTGTATCCTGTTTGCTAGATTCCTCTCAGCAGTTGAACAAAGTAAGTTTTTGAGTGTGTTTAGAGCAACCTTTCAGGAGAGTGTGATCTATCATACCATATTGGTCTAGAAGCAATCCAGAGGGTCTCATCCTCTGTGAAAACTAATGAAAGCAACACATAGAAGAACCTCCTACACCAAGAAAGAAATAAGGGAAACAAAACCTTTGGTGATAGCTTCAAAAATCATTAAATATCTTGGAGTAACTCTAACCAAGCAAGTGAAAGACCTATATAATAAAAATTTTCAGATGTTGGAGGAAAAAAAATTGAAGAAGATATCAGAAGATGGGAAGATCTCTCATGCTCATGGACTGGTAGGGTTAATATAGTAAAAATGCCCACCACACCAAAAACAATCTACAGATTCGATGCATCCCCACCAAAATCCCAACTTAAGCCAGGCAGTGGTGGCATACACTGTCCCGCGCTACTGTCTCGCCAGCAAGAACAACGCAGGGCACGCAGGATCCTTCTGCAGAACAGCCTTTTAATGCTTCTTGAGAGTGAGAGCATAAGCCGACATGGCGGAGACCCAGAGCGAGGCGAACCCAGCCCTTTTATAGGAAACAGTCCCCGCCTTGGACGTGTCACTCTCAGATTGGTCAGCTGCCCATCATCCCAGATGACGCCTCGGGAGAGGCAGGGACTACAGCGTTGGAAATTTGCCAACACATGCGCAAATTTCCTGTTCACCGGGCGGGGGAACCGGATGTCAGCGCCATCTTGCAATGGCGAATGTGGTTGCGGTCCTCTACATCTCCCCCTTTTTTTACTTCTTTGCAGAAAGGCAACTCCCTCAGAAGGCAGAGATAGAGGTCGCACTTCCCAAAGTGGAAACATTATAATGGGCTTGCACGGAATCTGCCCCTAGGTTCATGACACCTGGAACTTATCCGGCCTGCCCTCTGCCATTTTTCTGGGAAAGGGAATATACGGCAGGAAACCCTTATGCAGGGCGACATATCTCTCAGAGAGGGCCATTCTCTGTGCAATGCTCTTTAGCTCGACAACCTTCAGGGCTAGCTAAGCCAAGCACTCCACCCTGTGCAATGGACAGAGGTGTCCTAGGGGTGCAGGAGCTGGTTGGCATAAACCTTACTGCTTCAGCATAGATAACCACATCAGTAGAGGTTCCCTGTTCCAGGGCAGCCAGCGCTTGTGCAATAACCACACTTTGTCCCTACGACTTTGGGATTTGAGTCAGCAGACCAACCAGAGGAGAAACACTGATCCTCAGCATAGGGCTGTTCCAAACATTCCCACCCCCACCCTATAAGCTTATAAATAGAAGGTAGGGGAGCCCCAGAGTCTTATTGGTTGTAAAATAAAAAAAAAAAACAAAAAAACGAGGAAACACTGCCACTCTATGGCTGACTGGTGTCGGCTTCAGGAAGGCTGAGAGTATCCCCCATTGCTGCTCCTTCGTAACCGTTGTCACCCATCCGCAAAATGGTAGGAGGAACAGAAGCCAAATCTTCAGGCGAGTCCGCGTGTTGTGGGTCACCCCTCACCGTTCGGGTCAGTCTTTCTGGCACCCAGAATGGATTTTCCTGGTCCTGTGGGAACACACAAACAGCTCCCCTGGATCTCAATAGGATGGGATCCGGGCCTTTCCATTCATTAGAAAACACATCTTTCCATATAACCAAATCCTTAGGCCGCTGCGGATCCGAACTATGTCGTGTTGCAGCATTCTGGCCATTATCGTCCAGATTTAAAAAATTTATAGTGAACAGAGCCATGGCAATGGCTACTCTTGGTGTCGGGGGTAATTCCTTCAATATTCCCCCTTTTTGTTTAAGTAGATAAGATTTGAGTGTGCGATGTGCTCGCTCTACAATACCTTGCCCCTGGGGGTTATAAGGCAGGCCTGTAATGTGTGTGACTTGCATCTGTGCACAAAATTGTTTAAACTTTTGAGAAGTATAGGCAGGCCCATTATCCGTCTTTAAAGATGTGGGCTTGCCCCAAGCACTCCATGCCTCAAGACAATGTTGAATGACATAAGAGGTTTTTTCTCCTGTAAGTGGTGTGGCATGAATAACGCCAGAGCATGTGTCAATTGACACATGCACATACTGAAGTTTTCCAAAGGCAGTGATATGAGTCACATCCATCTGCCATATTTGCAAAGGTGCAATCCCTCTGGGGTTTACGCCAGTGTGTCTGACAGGGAGAAACTGGCAACAATTGTGACATTGGGTTACAATATCATGAGCCTCCTTTCTGGTAAGAGAAAAACGTTTACGCAGGGTTTCAGCTGTAACATGAAAATTATCATGAAAGGTTTTAGCGGTCTGTAACGGGGAGGCAAGAGCTACCACAGCAAGCTGCGTAGCACGATCAGCCAGATCATTACCTAAACTCATGGGGCCCGGGAGCCCCGAATGTGCTCTTATGTGTGTGATAAAAAATGGAGCTCTCCTATTTAGTAAACAGTCCTGTATCCTCTGGAAAAGAGCTGCCACTGTACTAGTAGGTTTAATAATTCCAGCGGTCTCTAATAATTTAACAGCATTAACCACATAGGCAGAATCAGAAACAATATTAAGAGGACAATGAAATTTTTGAAGAACCTCTAAAACCACCATACATTCCACCACCTGGGGTGAGGTGGCAGAAAAGTTCTTTGTATATATTTTAGAATCCACAACATAGGCTCCCACACCATTTTTGGAGCCATCTGTATACACCATCACTCCGTCTTTTAGCGGGGCAGAAGATGTAACTCGGGGAAACACAATGGGATGATATGCAGCAAACTGCAGCAGAGGGTGTTTGGGATAATGATTATCAATTTTTCCTGAAAAGGTGGTAACCAAAATTGCCCAATTGTCAGAGGTGGCGGCCAAAGTTTGTATCTGAAATGAGGTATAGGGAACTATCATAACCGCTGGATGCTTACCAAAATGACTAACAGACATTTTAAGGCCTTTAAGGGCAATTTGAGCTATAGCAGCTGGATACCAATCAATACTTTTGTTAGGAGAAGCATGCGGATGGATCCACAGTAACGGTCCATCCTGCCATAACACAGCAGTGGGTAGCTTTCTTGTTTTAAACACACATAGAACAAATGGTTGAGTTTCATCAATACGGCACAGCTGTGCCTCCTTAATGGATTCCTCCACTAGTAATAAGGCTGTTTCTGCTGCCGGCGTCAAGGCCCGAGGGGAGGTAATATGAGTATCCCCTTCCAAGATATCAAACAATGGCTTCAAATCAGCAGAGGGGATTTTTAAAAAAGGTCGCAGCCAATTAATATCTCCTAACAACTTTTGGAAATCATTTAATGTTCGCAAATCGTCCCTATAAATTTTTACTTTTTGTGGTAGAATCTTTTCAGGAAGAATAACAGAACCTAAGAATTGGCCAGTGTCTGTAATCTGGACCTTCTCAGCAGCTATTTGAAGACCCCATAGCTGTAAACTCTTAATGAGCAATGGGCAGGCTTCCCTTAGGACCTGTAAGTCCTCATGACACATGAGTACATCATCCATGTAATGAATCACAAGCAAACGTGGGAAACGTTCACGAAGCAGTTCAAGAGCCTCCTGCACAAACATCTGACAAATTGTTGGACTATTGGCCATACCCTGAGGCAAAACTCTCCATTGACAGCGTTTATCAGGCTCTATATGATTAATTGAAGGAACAGTAAAAGCAAAGCGAGGCGTATCAGCAGGATGCAATGGAATAGAAAAAAAACAATCCTTAATATCTATTATTACTAGACTCCAATTTTTGGGTAAAGCTGAAAGCACTGGGAGTCCTCGCTGCACAGGCCCAAAAAGATGCATTTGTTCATTAATGGCTCTCAAGTCATGCAACAAGCGCCATCTTCCTGATTTTTTTTTAATGACAAAAATGGGTGTATTCCACGGAGAGGTGGATGGTTCTATGTGCCCCAAAACGAATTGCTCATTAACTAGCTGATTCACTGCTTCCAGTTTTTCAGAGGTAAGTGGCCACTGAGGAACCCATACTGGGGTCTCTGTTTTCCATGGTATGGGCCGTGCTGCCCCAGTGGCGCCTAGGAAAAACCCAGACCCTATTTATTGATATTAGGTTTAGGATTTACTGACTCCCGTATTCCTTGCTCGGAGCGACCCAAGCCCTTTCCTGGCCTATGGCCCATTCTTAACATTATATCTTGGGCCTGAGATGAATATGCATTAGATAAGGTCAATCCCATACCCTGCATTACATCTCTTCCCCATAAGTTGACTGGCAGGGGAAGGACATATGGTGTAAAATATCCTGACTGCCCTTCGTCTGTTTCCCAGGTTAATCTGGTGGAGCTAATGGTGGGGTTTGCACTATAGCCCAAGCCCTGTAGGGCATGAGACGACTCAGTAACAGGCCAGGACTGTGGCCACCAGCGCGATGAGATAATACTTTTGTCCGCGCCAGTGTCCAAAATGCCTTCGAAGCATTTACCATTCACCCAAAGGGGCAGTTTGGGTCGATCTTGAAGGCTAACAACCAGGTAGGCCGAATCCTGTCCTGTTGACCCCATTAATTTACTCCCCGGCCTCTGGTGGGTGTCTGCCGGAAGAAACAGTAACTGAGCTATCCTGTCTCCTTTACTGATGGAAAAAACTCCACTAGGACAAGAGCACAGGGCTTGTATCTCAGCAGTGTGCTGACTATCAACAAGACCTGGGTGGACAATCAGTCCCTGCAGGGTAAGCGAGCCACGCCCTAAAAGCAGGCCCACGCTTCCAGGGGGTAGAGGCTCAGGCAGCTGCACAGGGACAGGCTGCACCCCCATTTGGGGCATCAATAGGAAGTCGGTGGAGGCACACAAGTCCATTCTTGTTCTGCCTCCGAGGGTTCCTTGGTCGTTGCCCTGACAAACTTGTTCCCATATTTCTGAGGGCCCTGGGACCGAGGGCCCATCACCCCGTTTTTGGATCAGTCTGTGGGTTTCCTAATGGTGGGAGGATCTTGCCATGGACATCCCTAACGGAGCGGCAGAGCTCAGCCCTGTGATAACCTTTGCCACAGCGTGAGCAGAGGGTAGGAGGCGCTCTCTCCTTTTCTGATGACCTACAATCCTTTTTTAAATGTCCTGGCTTCCCACATTTAAAGCAAACTCTTCTGTCTGGCCCTTTAAAAGGGTGTTTTTGTGACTGCATGATGGCTGCAGCCAAACCCGCATTCGTCAGGGGTCCTCCTAGTTCTCTACAGACCCTGAGCCAGTCCTGTAATTCTTTATTTTTCCTGGGGGCTATGGCCGCACGGCACTCCTGCGTAGCTTGCTCAAAAATGAGCTGCTCTATGAGTGGCGTGGCCATATCAGTGTCGCCAAAAATGCGTCCTGCTGCCTCAGTCATTCTAGCCACAAAATCTGAAAAAGGCTCCTGAGTCCCTTGTATAATCTTGGTGAGCGGGGTGCTTCCTTCTCCCTTTTTAGACAAAGCTTTCCATGCTCTTATAGCTGTATTGGCTATCTGGCGGTAGGCGTCATAAGGGTAGTCTATCTGGGCAGCGGTGAAGCGCCCTTGCCCAGTCAGGAGGTCAAAAGTCCATTGTTGTTGTTCTGGAGTTAAGGCGTGAGCGTTAGCTCTGGCCTGTTCCTGGGCCGCCTCATGCCACAGAGCTTTCCACTCCAAATATTGACCCATGCTGACAAGCGACGCTTTTGCAACTGTCTCCCAGTCTGCCGGAGTCATGGCACTCAAGGCTAATCTGTCCAATTGGGCTAATGTGAAATTAGCGGTCACTCCATATTTTCTAACTGACTCTGCTAATTCTTTTATTTGGTTGTACTCCACAGGCGCATACACCCGTCCATTTTCCCCTTCGTAAACGGGGAAGGCCAGGTGCAGCTTTCTCTTGACCTTGTCAGGGATAAATGAAAAAGTCTTTGGCCCAAGGTGTTCCTCATAAGGAGGCGCCAAAGGGGCAGTCGGGCGAGGGCGAAGCTCGTAAGGAGGCGGATGGGCCCTTTGGGATGACCTCATGGCCCTACCGCTGGTTAATTCTGCCTCCTCCTCTGTACCTAGTTCTTCTACCTCTTCTCCTGAGCCAGAACTTTCATGCTCACTTTCATGGTCACTTTCAATTTGCAGAGCTTCAAGCTCCTGCAGAGGATATAAACTACTGTCCTTTCCTTTTTTCTTATTGTTGGTTCCAGAAATCTTTCGACCTTGTAAATCAGTCTTCTCCCCCATTCTTATTTTCTTAAAACCACTGGAGGGTCCTTTTTCCTTATTTGAGACTGTGCGCGCACCTAACCTCTCACTGTACTCAGTTTCTGAAATGCTATCCTGGACTTCCTCCGTTGCAGCAACCGCCTGGCAGGATTCATCTTTTAAGCAGTCTTTGGTGAAAAATAAGAGGACTACTAAAAGAGGTAGCAAGGCCCCTATGAAACCTTCCCAATGCGGAAACAAGTCAAGCCCAAAACCGAAAAATCCAGGAAAAGCCATATCTCTCTGAGTATACAGACCTGCAGTTCTGAATCCTCCTTGTGTCCAAGGGGTCTCCGGCGGTGCGAGCAGTTGTCAGGGTCCCTCAGCGTCCCGAGGGATTCGACACCAGATGTCCTGCGCTACTGTCTCGCCAGCAAGAACAACGCAGGGCACGTAGGATCCTTCTGCAGAACAGCCTTTTAATGCTTCTTGAGAGCGAGAGCATAAGCCGACATGGCGGAGACCCAGAGCGAGGCGAACCCAGCCCTTTTATAGGAAACAGTCCCCGCCTCGGACGTGTCACTCTCAGATTGGTCAGCTGCCCATCATCCCAGATGACGCCTCGGGAGAGGCAGGGACTACAGCGTTGGAAATTTGCCAACACATGCGCAAATTTCCTGTTCACCGGACGGGGGAACCGGATGTCAGCGCCATCTTGCAATGGCGAATGTGGTTGCGGTCCTCTACAATACACCTTTAATCCCAGCACTCAGGCAGCAGACACAGGTGGATCTCTATGAGATCAAGGCCAGTCTGGTCTACAAAGCAAGTTCCAGGACAGACTCCAAAGCTACATAGAGAAATCCTGTCTCAAAAATAAAATAAAATTAAATAAACAAATACTAAATTATTTACAGATCTTGAAAGAACAATTTTCAACTTCATATGGAAACATAAAAAATCCAGGATAGATATAACGTTCCTTAACTGGTAGAGATAGCACCATCTACAGCTATATAAAGCTATAGTGCTAAAAGGGCATCATATTGGCACAAAACCAGACACATTGATCGATGTAATGAAATCAAAGACCTAGACATAAATTCACCCACCTATGAACACCTGATTTTTGATAAAGTAGCCAGAAATGCACAATGGAATAAAAAAAAAGGCATCTTCAACAAATAGTGCTAGTCAAACTGGATGGCTGCATGTACAAGAATTCCAATTTATGAATTTGGTCCAAATTAGATCCATACTTAACACTCTGCCCCAAACTCAAGTCCAAATAGATTAAAGACTTCAATATAAGGTCAGCTACACTGAACCTCGTAGGAGAGAAAGTAGAGTCTAGCATGGAACTCATTGGCACAAGAAAAAACTTTCTGAACTATACACTGTTAGCACAGACCATAAGAAAAACAATAAATGGGATGTCAGGAAACTGAAAAGCTTCTGTATGGCAAAGGACTCCATCATTCAAAGTGACAGGTCACATGCAGAATGGGAAAAGTCTGTTCTTGATACAACTCTCCAGCAGTGGATTTTTCTAGTTCAGAAGTGGTTCTAAAGAGTAGGCTGGAAGCTCTTCAGTTCTTCATCACAGCTTGACTTGTCCATCTACTCAATCTTATTTTCTTTAACTCTTTTATAGAGATTATTTCTAAGAGAACATTTCAACAGCCAGCCAGCAATCCAAAATCAGCCCTTGAGCTGGCTCAACCACTCCTCTTATGCTGTGTCTTTAACATCTTATTCCACCTCTCCTATAAACTTTCTAGAACACTTGATCCTAGGGACACCTTATAAGTGTTTAAGTCTTCTAGTATTGGCTTTCCAGAAAAGGTAAAATTTTAAAATAAAAAACACATAAAGTAACCAGAGAGATAATACCACAATGTATCTAATGCCCTCAAGAACTACTTAAAGTATCCAAGTCTTTTGATTTAATCGTCTTTCTCCAATATAATGACTTGCTCATAAATGTGATGCTGGGAATGCTGGTCTCTTTCCAGGACTGGCATGATTTATTAATAGTATTGTTACTTTGTGAAATGATTTGACAAATCTGGGACGATTACACTTTTCATTTCTCCTGTTAAAAGTAAGTGGCTCCTCTTCTGATTGGCATCTCTAATGACAGCGTGAGGGTTGGCATTCTGTGCTCAGCCTCAAGGACAGCAAGAAGGTGAAAAAGCTGCCAGTTTGATTGGTATTTCAGGCAAATGACGTGAATCAATGCATCTCTTGTACATGGCTCATTGAAAATTATAATGGTGTATTTAAAAATGTATATAAGCCGTATTTTATATTGAAAGCATGTGTTTTGCGGATCACGTAACATATGACAAGAAACAAACATCATTACACTACCCAGGAAATGAGCCTCTAAAATAAAGCACATGATTTTCCTTGAGAATGAAAAGTGTCCACTATAGTGAGAAATTTTAATTATTAAAGTCTGTAACTAAGGTCCATAGAGGACTGTGATCCACATATTCTTTGATAACTTAACTGGTAATTTGGTTTGGAAACTGGAATGATATGAGGCTTCTGTCATTAAGAAGAAAAACTCATTAATTCTCAGTTTCTAATTTACTTTAGAAAATCATTAATGTTGAAAAGATTAGTTGGGAGGAAGATTGATGAGTTTAGTTTTCTCAGGGAACACCGAGGTTGTAAAAAGTCAACTGTGATTTATCATTTTTATATTGTTTGTACTTCGTGTCTTAATGAACAAGTTGACATTTGAGGTACTCAATTTTTATTATTTTATAGCTCACTCAGAGAATAAACTTTGGTGGAGTTTCCATCTTTGCCGAGATTTAACAGTGTAATGGGTGTAAGCAAAGACGTGAGACTCGGAAATCCAAATCCCAACTCGGGCTATTACCTGCATGTCTAGATTTATCTTTCTATTATTATTAGCCAAATTGCACTTATCTGTAAAATGAGGGCGGTGATAGTAATCACTTAATGGAATTGCAAGGATTAAATGAGATAGTAACCCACCCATGGTAAGTGTTCTCATGCAGCAGCTACTCATTATAATTTCAGTGGAGTCAAGATTGAGAAACGGTGCAATTAATGCTCCTTGAATATCAGAGAAAAGTGACTCTAACCAGATGTTCACGAATTCCCAGAGACTAGTGACAAATGAATAATCAGACTATGCTAAATGTCAATTTCATGTCTCCCTACAACTTACCCCCAAGTACAATAGGCTGCTTTGTGAAGAGAGAATTTTGATAACTGTAAGTGAAATGAGCAATATGCTTTTCCTTGGGACTTTAGAGGGGAAACCCGTAAGCAGCATACACTGTAAATATTTGGCATAAGGTAATCACAAGGAAGAAATGAATATTGAGATCTTACCTTATACCAAACTGCTAAGTATTTTTTCAAAATTTAGTATCATCCCTATCTTTTTCCTCATGACACGTGAGCTGCCATTAAAAAAAAAAACAACACACTTCTTATTTTTGTATACACATATACTGTGCAATTTAATCCTCACATTGACTTTCATTGTCATTTTGTCTGATCTATTGTTATTTGGCCTCGTCTCTTCTGCCTACTCTATATCGAGAGGTAGAAAATTGAAGGAAGTTGTCCTAGACCACTCGGCTGGTGAATATTCACACTAAACCTAGAACCCCCTTCTCTTCAGCTAAGCCCCACTGAAGAAGGCTTATTCTGTTCAGGTCGCTTTGTCTTGGTTTAGATCAGGAAGCGCCGGACAGTGTGATCTATGGGCAGCACTGCAGAGGTCACAAGGAGGGGTGGCATCAGCTGTTAGCTGTGTCCATGCACACAGCACATCATCTCCCTGGTGTCACGGATCCTTTGATGTGTCATGTCCTCTAGGCATCGCTCACCAACACACAGATACCGTCCGTCGTGGCATAACGCACTCCCTCCCCATTGCAATGCTCCCAAGTTTGTCTACCCCCTACAAAACTCTCAGTTTCTTGGAGGGACCTGTTTGGCTGCACTGTCTGGGGGTCGTGCTTCTATGCAGCACCTGGAGAGACTGGCTTGTGTAGCATGTAAGCCTTGCCTTAGGATGTGTGTAGATGCCGGTTCTTTCATAGTAATCCTGTATCTTGGACGTTTTCTTGTTGACGTACACAAGAGGCAAGCCTTGCTGGCAGCGGGGCCTTCAGCTGTGACAGAGTTCACTCAGGTTTTCTCCGCTGGGCACTGTCTAGAACCCATAGCCCCAACATTCAACTCATAGCTCAAAATAACAGCCTATTTCTTCCTGACCATGTGGCCTCATAAATAAATTATAGCATCTCTGTTAGGAAATAAACCAAGTTAAAGTAGTGGCCTCATAGCCAAAAAGAAACATTTAATCAACTTTAGAGGTTCCAGGTAAATTTATATACATAATCTGCTAAGCCACATAGACTTCTGTGGATCTTTTGTATTAAATTTAGAACGCTCTATTCAAAGGCACCAAGAGACACACAGAGGTCTCAGAGGGGAAATTCTGTTGGAAGAAAATAATATATTATTGAAGTAATATCTTCTTGAGGAAAAAAAAAAGGCCTAAAGCACCTTAGATGGTTTCTTATCTGAGGCATTGAGATCTCAATTGTGAAAGAGTTTTCATCTGGGAACCTGAAAAGAAAACATCCCAGAAGCTCTAGCGAGTTCAAAAGAAAGGTCACTGACTGAGACAATCAAGGTGAATGATGCTTGTACGATGCCCAAGGCCCAGATTGAGGACCAGAGGGACCCAAGGTTTACTGATTTCAAGGATAATGTAAAAGCTTAACCAGCGAGCTGGAAGGTCAGTGGAGACATCCAGTAAATCAGACGCAATTAGTTCAGTACCCAGTGCACAATATGGAAATTGA